GTAAGTGTTCAAAAGTACAATAATTAATCTCCTTAAATAATTCAGTACAAAATGATAATAATAAAAATGAAAATAATTTTAAATATTATCATTATTTTAAGCAATGAATCACATTTAATTATTTTTCAATAAGCAATATTGTTGATTAATTTAATAAACATTTATAAAATAATTCCGAACCTAATTAAAAATAATGATGAATGTACTATGAACGCCTTTTATTATCAGCATAATTGTTATCGTATTTATTATAGCTTGTTGCCTATTTTTATATTTTATAATAATAATTGCAATTTGAGAAGGGAATTATTATTATTAAGAGACATGAATGCATTCTCTCTTTATGCGTATTTAAAACAGTCGTGTGTATACTGTAGTCGCCCAATTTAAATTATGAGATGTATTATATACCGTGAGAAATTTGCTCTGCCATTCAAACAGTTCTAAGTCATATGTTTATTTAATATTTTATTATATTTAATAAAAATTAAGTATAAAGAGAGAATTACCGCTACTTTTTAATGCATTCGAATTAGTATTTTCATATGACATTGTGTACCACTTTTTATTTAACTTATGTTATGTTATGAATGGGGCGAATTTAATAAGCACTTCGACCATGCAGGTCTTTTGTGCATTCCCGGCCCAGATCATTAGAGCTCAAAATTCAGGCTTCCGATAAATTTTAACAGGTCTGTCATGCACAACAATTCATCAGAATCCAAGGCCAAGGCCTTAAGAAATCTGTATCTAGAGCGGGCCAAGCCATCACACTAAAATAAAACATGAGTGGAGTTTTCCGTACCTAGCAGAATCTACATCGCTGCGTATTTGATGTGCCAATTTTTTGTAAATATGAGTTAAAGTGCCCATGCCCAGTGACAAACCACGATAAAATTTTCAGTGAAGAGGGGCTCCGCTTAATAATGTCAGGAAACCCGCGATCCGTCGACCAAAGAAGTCTTTGGACCGCAATAGTCTTGCACGGGAGCGCCACTCCTCCGAAAGCAGCCACGACCTCAGACCAGGCCTGATGAAGGAGGCATTTGTCTCCAAATTCGCCAGATAATCGGCCTCCTCATTTCCAGGCATTCCTGTATGACCGGTAGCCCACATAAGAGTGAATTCGTTACTCACTTGCAACGGGACCTATTATTATCGGTATTGAAGGTGAACAAGTAAGAATTTTGAGAAATTTTCTTAAAAAAACGCTGTGTATCAGTAATGTTCGAGTATTGTCATCTACTTCCATAAAAATTTTATCGAATATTTTCGATTCTCCATCACTAACTACGTTATATAATATCGTATACTCTACAGAATCAAATTAATTAGAAACCAAATTCTATATTTATAATTTAATTCAATTCAAAAACATTTTTCTATACTAAAGGTTATAATAATTTTATACGTCACAGTTAATTTAATCAAAAATTTTGTCAATTATAATATTTAAAAAGTTCAAAAAGTATAAATAAATCAAATCAAATTTTATTAATTTATGATTTTGCCGGCAGTAACAACAAAACAAAATGTCAAAAATCAACCAACATGGGCTCACATTTTTTTATAATAATTGGCAAATTTAATTTTTATACATATGTAGGTACGTACATATTTACATATTGGTGTGTATATAGATTTTATGACTTACCGCACTTTTTACAAAAAAAAAAAAAGAAAAAAATTAAAAGCTTTGCAATCAAACTAATTTTTTTCTATTTGTTTTTTTTTTTGCTCAAAATTATAACTTTTTTGAACTTCTGACAATTAATGTTATCGCCTTCACTTACTTTCAAAGCATTTTACAATATTAACTACATTAATTCTTGTTATTGCGAACTACATACATACATATATAAACACATACACAATTTAAACATTTTGAATATTTACTTTCATTTTAGAATTTTACAGTTATACGCAAATTAGAATTTTAATTTTTAAAGCAATTTCAATAAGATTTTTCACGTGAAATCAATTAATTGCGCTCTCCATTAAAATCTCCCAATTTTAAAATTATAAATTTTTAAGCGGTTTATTTAACATATTTTCACATACAAACTTATACATTTATGTATTTTACAACTCTCAGTCATATTTTATTCCTGAGAATTGTTATTGTACTTACATAATGGTTTATCCGAATAAATTGAACCGCAGTAGAGTGGGATATTCTAAATCGAAATCACATTATTTTGAATATCAAAAATAAGTTTGAGATAGAAACATTTGGAATATATGAAACACAATTAATCGCGTAAGAACGTTAAATTAAAAAAAATATATATGTATGTATATATATATATATATATATATTAATGAAGAGAAGTTCAATTCAACCTCTGTAAAGGAGATTTCAAGTACGAGAAATTTGAATAAATAAGGTGTGATTTAAATTTTATGTCCGATAAATATTTAATACTAAGACAAATGTTCATTATTAGATTACATAATTGTTATTAGCCATATATTGAATTGACATTGAAGACATTAGAATTACAATAATATTGTATATCACTAAACAATTCAGCAACTATTACTTATAAGCTAAATTGTGTATTAACACAGTTTTATCACTTATGTTTCAGATTTCATAATAGCTGTTGGCTATTTCGAGAATAACTTCAGTTAATATGTAGGACTTGTTATCTCGGCTTATCTTATAACTAATTTAGTTTAAAAGCGCCCCTGTATTGAGAAATTTTTGTAATGTAATTGATAGTTTTGATTATAAACGATTGAAGTATATTTAAAAAGTTGCATTTATTTGATTTTTTTATTAAGATAAGCCTTAAATTAATTGATGAAAAACAAGTACATATACAAATTCTATATAATAGATAATAAAATAATTAAGATAATTTTCAAAAGCAAATATATTTTACGTAATATACCAATGAAAAATATCAAAAAAAAATTTTTTTATTGATTTGACCGTTTAATGAACTTGTTAACAGGTGATATAAATATTAATAATGGTTATCGAATTACAAATAGTAACATTGTAATATTTATTGATAAAATTGTTTTTTTTTTTTTTTTTTGATCAATATATCCAATATGGATTAATCAATTAATTTTTTTATTTAGAAATCGAATAAAATGTAATTTATTGTACAAATAATATGATAAGAAAATATTTGAAAAACAAGTTAAAATATTTTAGTCGATCTAAGGCAGCTGAATTATACCCTGCCATCTTGACAATCTGAGCACAAAAAATTTATTTTAAATCGTAGGTTTTAAAAATTTTAAACGTAGCAAATTATCAAATTATTCGACAAAAACGTCAGGGATATATGTATGTGAACTATAATTGGACACACGACTGCTAAATATAACGCAGTTAGCCTAATTACTTTTTCAAATATTTAACATCATCTTTTAGCATTCGGCAGATACCCGATCCATTGCAGCTATTCCATTAAAATTTTCAGAATATTTATAAAATTTAATTGGATATACGAGTTTGCAAAATTTAATATCAATATCTTTATTCGTTTTCAAAACATCTAATATAATCTCTTTGAATTGTACGGGAGCTATTTGAACTCGTTTGGCAAAATTTGTCCAATTATAATATAACGGCCGCCATTGGTAATAAAGAAACAATTTGTGAAAGTTTTATGGTGTTTGTGTTTTTCGTTTTTTAGTTATCGAACGATCGTACGGACGTGTTTTAAATCAACCCACAGTATTACGCTGACCAAGTATATTTATTATATGTATACCATGTTCACAGCGCCGACGACTCATTCAAATGATCACAAACGCTCTTCCAAACTTAATATACATATGTACCATCCACGAAGAAGCGGGCGGGGTATAGACTGTGTACCGGGTTATGAAATGAAGCAATATTCCTAGTTGTAACGATGAAATATAAGAGCAACTTTTAATTACATATTATTATTAATTGAAAAGGAAACCGATAAATCAATTGGATGGTTAAAAAATAATCGCAACCAATTATAAATTGTAAAACGGAGTCGTTCTTCTTCAGGTATTTTTCTATATGTACTTAGTTCCATAACCCTTTCAGTACCAGATCAAGTTCATATTTACATAACAAGTACTTTTTGCAATAGAATATACATACATAAATACTATTACCTAGTAAGTACAAATATTAATAATTCTAATAAAATTTCAAGGCTAAGGTTTTTTTTATATACCCTAGAATTGCGGAAATTGTTTAAATAATTAAATTTTGTCTTGCCAATTTTTTAATTTTAAATATTTTTTTTTTGTTTAAATTTTATTAAAATGAATTTTTCTTAATTTCTCTTAATATTTTAATTAAACATCTCGTCATTGCTTTACTTGTACTAACCAGTGACGAGGCGTTATCAAAAAAGGTACTACTAATCTCAATGTACAACTACGCAGACTTTTAATCTACTCAAACGTATAGATTTAATTTAGCACTTGTCTTATTTTACAATATAATCGCTGAAAAAGTAAAATGGGTCTTAAATTTGGATTTATATGTAAAAGACTTGTGCTTATATTATTATATTATAAATTATTGAGAAAATTTTTTACCGAGAATAAAAAATTTTTCATATTAGCAATTTAATTGGATTGTAAATTAAATTTTAATTACTAAATTATAGTGTAACGCATGTGCTCCACTATTTATTTTTTCTGCTCCAATACTGATTTCTAATTACTTTATTTGCTTCGCCTCCATATTTAATAATAAAACTTACTCTATGTATTAAGCTAACAATTTGTTAATTAAAAACTAAGTTAAATAAAAATTTTATTTTTAAAATTTAATGAATTAATAAAATATTTGTGTATTTTAAACAATTTAAATTTTGAAATGAGAAATTTGATTGACTTACAAGGGTAATTTTCCTCAAAAACCATTAAAATAAAATTGATATTAATTAAATGCCGATTCTAAACTCAAAATTGAATATTTTAAACGAAATTTTGAAATTTTTATCAAAATTATTAACTAATTTCTTTTATATTTCTATTATTTCCAGATATTAATTTTGTATTAAAAAATTAAATTATAAAGTACTCAATGATTATCAAAACAAAATATTTAAAAATTTTGAAAAACAAGGAAGAAAGTTTGAGGAGGTGAAGACACAGGACTATTTTACAAACACGTACATATTTTTTTATAACTCAATAAATTTCTACAAGAACAAAATATTATTTAAAATAAGAGAACATTAAGAATAATTTATATTTTACAAAAATGGCGAATCCGATCAAAAATAATAAAGCTCCAAAAACTGTTGGTTTACAACGGAATCTTGGTCTATTATCAGCAGTAAATATAATTAGTAAGTTACAACTTTATAATTTATTTAAGAACTGATAATAATTAACATTTTTTAGTTGGCGTTATGATTGGATCTGGAATTTTTGTTTCACCAACTGCTGCTCTTAAGTAAGAAATTTAAATTTTATACATATTATATATTTTAATTCGAAATTAATTTAATTAAATAATTAAATTGTAAAAATTAATTATAAATTATTTTTCATATAGATATTCTGGTAGTGTGGGTATGTGTTTAGTTGTATGGACATTATCTGGTGTTATATCATTAGTTGGTGCATTATGTTTTGCTGAATTAGGAACAGCTGTACCAAAATCTGGTGCAGAATATGCATATTTAATTGAAACATTTAAAGAACAAAATAAATTTTGGGGACCATTACCAGCATTTATATGCGCATGGGTTTATGTAATAGTATTAAGACCAGCTGAAGTAGCAGTTATTGTATTAACATTTGCTGAATATTCAGTACAGCCATTTAGTCATTTAATTGGTTTAGATAAAATGACTCAAGAAGATCAAACACAAATTGTAAAATTGATTTCATTATTAGCTTTAGGTATTTAATATAAAACATTTTTTTTTTTAAATAAAATAAATTTTTGCTTAATTTACAAAATATTAATATTATATTTTAATTATTATTTTTATAGGTATTATAACATATATAAATTTAGTTAGCGTAAAACTTTATCTACATATCAACAACATATTTAGTTTTTGTAAGGTGATAGCATGTTTTATTGTGATTGGCGGTGGTATATATGAATTAGCAATTGGAAATACGAAAAATTTAAGCAGTGGATTTGAAGGTACAACAAGTAATCCGGGTTTTATAGCACTAGCATTTTATAATGGTTTATGGGCGTATGATGGTTGGTCAAGTGTAACAACAGTTACAGAAGAAATTAAAAATCCCGAAAAGTATAAACACATTATTTTTTTTGGTTTAGTTGAAATAAAATTAATTTAATATTTATTTTATATTTTAGAAACATTCCAAGATCAATTTTAATTGCTGTTCCTATTATAACTGCCTTATATGTTTTTATGAATTGTGCTTATATGACTGTTTTAACACCAACTGAAATGATTGAATCAAGTGCAGTAGCTGTATCATTTGGTAAAAAAGTACTTGGACCATTTTCATTTATAATACCTTTAGGCGTTGCTCTATCAACATTTGGATGTGCAATGAGTATACAATTTGGTGTAACAAGATTATGTTTTGTCGCTAGTCGTGAAGGACAATTTTATGAACCAATGTCTTATGTTCATGTTAAACGTAATACACCGGCTCCAGCAGTTGCATTACAAGGATTAATTACATTCATATTTATATTAGTTGGAGATATTGAAACATTAATAGAATTTGCATCATTTTTAATATGGTTCTTTTATGGATCAGCAGTTATTTGTTTACTTATTTTAAGACGAACTAAACCACATTTAGATAGACCATATAAAGTTCCAATTATAATACCAATATTTACAATTGGTGTGGCAATATTTTTGTCTACAGTGCCTGTTATTGCAGAACCATCATTGAAATTTTTATTTGCAATTGGATTTTTATTTAGTGGATTTGTTGTTTATGTACCAATGGTTTATATGAAAAAGAAACCATTTTTTGTTGGTAAATTAAAATTTTATACACTATTAAATTTAATTTAATTTTAAATTTTTTTTTTTTTGTAGAAAAATTATCACATGCTATACAAGTATTGTTCGAAGCTGTACCGTCAGAAGAACCGAAAGCTTTATAGTAGACTTTTATATTAATTTTTTTTATTAATTTTAGTAATTTTAAATTATTATTTTTTTAAATTAGTAATTAAGGAAATAATTTTTTATACTAAAAAGTGAAACTTTTAAAATATTGTACTTTTTTTTATATTTAAAAATCAATAAAATATGATTAATTTTTATATAAAATATGAAATTAATTAAAATAATTTTTGAAGACTTCAAAATTTCTTTTTCAAAAGTTCTAAAACTTAAAATTATGAATTTTTTTATGGAATCGGTGTGAGAAATTTAACAATTAACAAATTAAGTTGCGAAAAGGAAACAAATTAAAAGTATTGACTGAAATTCAAAATTTTTTTTATTTTATTTTCCATAAATTATGTATATCAATTTCTCAATAATACCAATTGATAAAAAGTAAAATTACTATATTAAAATTAAATTATAAAATTTTAAATAACTTTATTTATTCAAAATAATTAATATAATTAACGACTAAGATATAAAATTTGGATCTAAATAATTATATTTTTGATCTTTTGAAAATTTTGATAACAAATAATCTTTATCGATAGTATCAATTTGTTGTGAATTACCACCATCTGAATCAATATAATCACCAACTTCATTATCATATTGATTTTCATTTGAAACTCTAATACCCCTAAATTTATGTTGTACTGGATGTGGAGTTGTTGACATTAATTGTGTTATTAAACAATCTGAACAAAAATCGATTGATTCTTTTGTGCAAGTTTTACAATGCCATCTTGTTCCTAATATTGGTTCTTCTGAACAATAATTACATTTATAATTATAATGAATACTATTTGATCTTTGTTCATTATCATTTTCTTTATCCTTTTTAACTCTCTCTAATAACTTTAAAATCTTAAATTGATCATTATCTTCGTCTTTAATATCATTTTCATCATCACTGTCACTAGAATCTACATCATATTCATTCGAATTTGATAGGTTTGGTGTGCTTTCTATTTCAAGGGATTTTACACTTGTGTTTGTTGACATTGTATTCAAAGTAGGTTCACCAATATCATCATCTTCCGGTATACAAACTGGAACATTATATGAAGGAAAAAATGTTGATGGACGAAATGTTATTTTACTATATTTAGATACTTTTTGTAAATTTCGAGCTTTCGGAATACGACCAGGTACTGGTAGTCCAGCTGCATGTAATTTTTTAAAATATTTTTGTACACGACTAGCAACTTGCTTTGTTGTACGATTTCCAAGAGCACGCGAAATTTTAGCAAAACGTCTCATTTCATATTGTTCTGGTGGATATTCGACTAACAATTCTTCTAATCTTCGTTGTTCTTCAGTTGTCCAATGCTAAAATATTTATTTTTAATTATTGAAAAGTTCTCAAAAAAATCAGTAATAGCGTATTATTATATTTTTGTACCTGGTTAAAAGTATCATGCTTTTCTTCTTTGAAAATTGCTTCAAGATTTTCTGTCGTATTGTTGCCGGTTCTTGTAGAATTTATATTATTCAGTTCCGGGAATTTCACATTATATTTTTCAAAATTTATGTTAGGGATCTAAAATTAATTTAAAACCAGGTATCTTTATAAAACCTATGTAAAGTGGATAGTAATGTACCTACCTCGGCAATATTAATGGATTTTGGAAATTCGATTTCATTTTTAGAAAGAGATTGTACAAATAATATTGGATCATCAAGTGCCTTTTTTCTAATTTCTGCAAGTTCTTCTAAATCTAAAATCAATTTTTTCCTCTATAGTTGTCTATTAACAAATTGAAAAATTACCTTTGGCAGCTTGAACCCTTTGAGCTTCTAAAACTATTAAGGTTCGAAGAACTGATGTATAATCAGAATTTCCTCGTAAAGCTAAATGATCAGATTCAAAATAAAATTCTTCATTATCAATATCACTTTCTTCATTTTCAATCATTTTAATTTGAAGTTAAAAACACGATGAATAGAAATTAGGCCAAACTTTTAATAAACAATTTTTCAAATGAAAAATCACCAAGAACATTAATTGTTATTGTTCTACAAGTGTCAATACCAACTGATTTATGCGAACAATATTGCCATAATTTGATAACTTATTGCCACACAATTAGATAACTTATTGATAGCTATTTAGATTGATGGTTGACACTCACTTCACACCAGAGCACCATTTAGCCTATTAAAGGAACCATCAACCGCCACTTCCCACATGAACACCATTCAACTTAACATAATTAAACGGCAGAATAACCACCGTCAACAGTTTAATTTTAATAGGCTAAATGATGTTTTGTGGTAAGTGACTATCAATTGTTATTATATTTTTTGTTTCAACCAAAAGCATTTTTATGAACCCACTCATTCTTATTGAGTAGCAAAAATGAGTAGATTTGTTTACTGAGAATGTAAACATTGATGTCGATTGAGGTTGAATTAAATTGAATGTGGTGAAAGCTTCAAAAAATTGACGTTTGTAACACAAAATATAACCTCACTTTTAAATTATCAAATTTATTTGTTTACTTCGTTGTTTCATTCTACTTCTCCTTATAAAAATATAAAAATTTGATCTTTTATCTTGCATTTTTAGAAAAATTACTTTATTGTAATATGTACAAATTATTTTCCCGAAATATACATAGAACATCATTATTCCAATGTGATAATAAATCGGAAAAAATTAAATCTTTACTAGAATCTGCAGTAATTGGATCTGATATTAAGCCAACAAGTCCAGAGAACCAATGGTCAACTTTACCATATGCGGAGGGAACGGTTCTCAAAAGAGATCAAAAATTGAAATCTATTAGACCAGCAAGAGATCCAAGGGAATGTTCGATAATTCTTTTTCCAGGGCAAGGTTCACAATATGTAGGAATGGGAAAAAATTTACTCAGTTGTCCCGGTTCAAGAGACATTTTTGAATTAGCTAATCAAGTTTTAAATTACGACTTATTGAAAATTTGTCTTGAAGGTCCAAAATCAAAATTAGATAAAACAAGTTATTGTCAACCTGCAGTTTTTGTATCCTCACTGGCAGCGGTCGAAAAACTACAAGAGGAAAGACCAAACGCAATTGAAAATTGTGTGGCAACAGCTGGATTTAGTTTAGGAGAAATAACATCTTTGGTTTTTGCTGGTTCAATACCCTTTGATAAAGCTTTAAAATTGATACAAGTCAGAGCAGAAGCTATGCAAATGGCATGTGAGATGAGCGAAGGTGGAATGGCAACTGTACAATTATAATTTTTATTATGCATAAAGGATAATTTTAGAATATATTTTTTTTTTGTTATTTTAAGGTATTATTTGGACCAGACTCAGAAATAGGTGCAGCATGTAATAAAGCTACACAATGGTGCCTTGAGAAAGGAATTGAAAAACCATATTGTCAAGTTTCTAACTATTTATATCCGCATTGTAAAATAGTTGCTGGACATATGGAAGCATTACGATATTTAGAAACTAATTCAAAATTATTTAAAATTAAAAGAATAAAACGATTAGCTGTTAATGGTGCATTTCACACACCTTTAATGGAATCAGCCGTTGAACCGTTTAGGAAAGCACTTAAACAAATTCCAATTGAGGATCCTTTAATAAGTGTACACTCAAATGTTGATGGAAAACGATATAAAAATGCCGGTCATATTCTTAAACAACTTCCTCAGCAGGTAATATTTCGTTTCTGTTCTGATTTTTTTAATTACTGTTTTAATTACATTTTTTTTTGTCCAACAATTTAAATTACAGATTGTAAAACCAGTAAAATGGGAACAAACATTACATATTTTATATGAAAGAGATCAAGGCAAACATTTTCCAAGAACTTTCGAATGTGGACCTGGAAAAGGTCTTAAAGCCATATTAAAGCAAGTGAATGCTAAGGCATGCGATTCAGCAACTAATATAGAAGCTTAAGGAAGTTTTAGTTTGTTGTTAGGTTTTACAAATTTTATATAATATAAAAATAAAAAAATTTTTATAACATTTACATATCAACGTGTTAAATTAGGAAAATTATTAATTATTATTTTCATTTATAGTTTGTAGGTACAAATAACTTTATCTTAAGACTTAAAACTTACTTGACAGTGTATAATGTCCTTAATCGGTATGGAACGCTAATTAGTTATATATTCATAACGGTAAACAGTCATTCGATTTAATATTTAAAAATTATTTGACGAAATATTAGTAGCAAATTCAAATTGCGGTTTGCCGGATTGCTTGAAGGATAATATATATAGCTCAGATTTCATTTCAAGATGTAAATTTTCGATAAATCGGAAATTTTAAAATATTTTATTATTTCTAAAACACTTTTTAAATATTTTATATTTTGCTTATGACAACTTCTGAAATGAAACTGTTGAATTGGTGAATTTCTATAAAAAAAAAATGCTTGGCGCGTAAAATTAATGTGGTGAATAAAAATTAAAAATTTGAAAGTGGTGTAATGCTTTCATTTTTACTAGTAGTAGTCTAACCAGTAGCGTTCTCAGTTCGGTAGATTAAACAGTGATATAAAATAAAATTTAAATTGAAAAAAAAAGATATTAATCCAGAAATGGATAGTCAAATAATTGAAAAACAATAAAATCATATTTAAAATAACTGAAATGGTAAGATAAAAATACTTTTTACATCTTTAGAATATTTAAAGTAGCAAGTAGAGTATGTAGAATGCTTAACATTTAATTTATGTATTTTACCGTTACAGAAAACTGCTGCGCTTCATTCTCTATAAGCAGTATAAAATCACAACACATAAACTTTAATTATAATAGGTACTAGTAAATTACTTCTTCGTTTAGAAATTATAATCGAAAATGGTTTTAAAAAATTATAGTGAAATCAAGTGGTTCTGCAATATATGAGAACATGCACTATCTATACAAGACGCAAAAATATATCATATACTTTGCGTGAAGGTCTTAAAATTTTAACAAAGTCTCCTATTATTTCGTTTAAAGAATAGTCGATTGCAAATTTATTTAGAGATCATAAAAAGTGTTGACTCTATTTCTACTTAAAAAATTAATTACTTATCCAAGCTGTGGTAGTTAATGGTTAAGATCATTCATTTTAACATTTTAAATGAGATATAAACACAAATTTTTTTTTAATTCATTTTACATTACACATTTATTTTTTTGAACATTTTTTACATATTCAAATAATTTCTTAATCCTTATTCAATTTTATTACCTTCCTACATTAAAACTTAGGAAATCACAAAAAATTTCTTTCTTAAAAAGAAATAATTTCAAAGTCTATACCATTGAATTATTACAAATTACAAAAAAAAAAGAAAGCTAAAACTAAAAGTTATTTTAAAATGCACAAATCTGCATCTCTAATAATCATTAAGCTGGCAATAAATCGAAATCATCACTAACATGTACCATTGGCACATGAGATTCATCGATCACAGGTTGTGATTTATAATCACATAAAGAATGCTCTTTCATTAACCATTCCCAATCCATTTTTTGAACCGCATGCAAACTTTCAGCTTCATTATGATGTCTTAATAGCATCGATTCCTAAAATGTAAATTAAAAATTAATATTATTTATTAATATTGTAATCGATTCAGAATGGAATTAAATTAAATAATTTTAAATATTACCTTAATTTTCTCCCATTTATCATCAACATCTTGTAACCAACTAAGAAACAGTCTTCCATTATAACGTGATCTAGCATTACGATCTTTTTCTTCTTGTTCTGGTGTTATCATATTATAAACTTCTTGATCTTTAATAATTGTGCATACTGATAAAGGTAAAGATTGACATGCTAAACTACGTGCTGCTTTTGCATGAACTCGTAATATTTCCTGTTCTACAGTAAGTCCTAACTTCTCTCTTTCAATAGTATGTTGTGTTTTTAATTTATAACGTTCTTTTTCTTGTGTGGTAAATAATTCTTTCATTTGATTAGGTAAATTTTTAGGAATTGTAATAACTGGTTCAGTTGGTATTTTACCAGCTAATGCATATGTTTTACGATTCAATAGATAATCTTTAAAACCTTGTGGGGGGCGAGGTTGTATTGGCATTAATGATTTATGCTTTTTCTCAATTTGTTTTCTAATATTCAAATACATTTGATAACAATTCGTAAATGGATGATCGTGTGGATGGACTTCATTAACTGTTGATGTAGATTCATTTGAATTCGCTTGACTATCTTTTGATTGAGCGCTTGAACTTTTATTTGATGAATCATCTTGTTTATTAGCGCGAATTTTACGTTTACGTGGATGTAATTCTACATTTCCCTGTGGTACTTCTTTTGATGTCGATGAAGTTGATGATGCAGATGGACTTGGCACATTACCAGCATTTGATTCTGTTTCTGTTTGAGAATTTTGTGCTGATGAATTGTTAGCTGGACTAGGATTATTTGTATTCGTATTATTTTTATTTGAATTACCATTACCAGATGCCGTCCCTCCACCAGTTGATGATGATCCAATCACTTTTTTATCTTCAATAGAATTATCCTCTTTTTCATTTGGGCCAGCCGGGGATGGTGAACTACTCTGTAGTTGTGGTGAGGAATTATTTGAACCTCTATCAACACCTTGACCACCACGATGGGAACTGCGTAATACTCGTTGTTGGGCACGTTCTTCACTTGTACCCTTCATATTAGATTTTTCATCACCTGCAGCTAAACTAGATGAACTATTTTTACCATTACTATCAGCTGGACTACCACATCTTGATGATGTACTTTCTCTATCAGCTGCAACACTGTCGTTACTATTCGATGATGAAGCAACTACATATGGTAATGCTTGATGATTACGTGTTGAATTATTTTTACCATTACGCGGACCAACTTCATTATCACCGGATGGATTTTGTTGTGGTATAACAATTTTTAATGGTGGAACTTTTGGGCCACCATTATTACCAAAACTATCTGAATTTTTATTATCATCTGTTTCGGTATCACTATCGGTATTTTTATTTGCTGATGTTGATTTTGGACTTGGACATGGACTTTTACGTTCTAAATTTGTTGAGTTTTTACCTGTAAGACCTCCCAATGATTTATTTGATCCACCTGATTGTTTAACACCTTTTTCTTGTCTTTGTGATTGTGTATTACGACCGCCAGCGCCTTGTTTATTTGTATTATCACCACAATAATTTCGTCTTCTTTTTTTTAATTCATCTCCATCAGTACTAGTATCATCATGCCCTTCAATGTCAGAGTATACACGTTTTGTTGCACCACCGCTGCTACTACTACTGCTACCACCTCCGCCGCCACCCCCTCCACCACCTCCGCTATTATTACCGGAATTACCGCTACTAATATTCAAATTACCACTACCACCACTTGATGAGGAACCTGTTAAATTAGTATTAACTTTACTAGAAATTGAACTGACAGATATATTTCCAGAATTATTAGAACCTATGCCACTTAATGGATCATCAGAATTTTTCTCCTCCGATATTGAACGTTTATCAATTTTCCTATTATCTGGTTTATTATCTTCGCTACCGCTACCAGATGATGAATCTTTTGGTGTACTTTTAAATTCATATATATCATCTTCTTCTTTATTACCACTACCAGATCCTGAATGACTTGTACCTGATGTATGTGTTATATGATCATCATGTTCTTCAATAATTTTCTTTTGTTCAGCTCTTCTCATTTGTTGTTGAACAGCACGATTTGCGGGTGAATCTAAAATTATAATAAAAAGAATAAAGTATTCATAAATAATCAAGACTTCAAAATTATTTTATAATTCTATTAATTTTTTTAAAAAATTTAATTCTTTGAAGTTTTAAGAATTCAATAACATGATTACAAAATTTATTTTATTAATTATTTTAAAATCGAAGTAGTATATTCTTATTAAATCAATTATTTTCATTTTTAGGAAAGCAACAAATAAGGAATATTGCGATGTTAATTTTAATATAAAAATGGAAGATCACGTAAAAAAAAAAACAATAGATTTATTTTATTCAATAACCAAGGAAATATTATTGAAATGTAAGGAGTAGAAGAAAAATTAATACAAAAATAACAACGCAGACAAAGACTTAAAACAAGAAAGCATGCATGTATTTGAGGTAATTATTGTGTTTCGCAGAAAACGCTCTCATTCATCAGCCCACATTAACCTATCTGCCAGCCCATACACACCTACTTTTAAAATGCAATTAAAAGTAATATGTATTTAAATTTCAAAAGAAAAATTTTATTAAAATTCTAATCTAATGTAGATTTTTTAGTACTCAACTAATTATACACAAACTGATTATAATTGAGTTATTTTAAAATTCAAATGTACATACATATGTACACTAGTAAACAATAAGGAATATTTAAGTTAAGGAAGAATATTTTTTTGAAAAACACGTCATAACTATATGATCTTAAAAATTAATTATATTTAATAATAATTTGGAAGAAAAAACCGGTGTTCGCTAATTAACAGGTTAACAAATTGCAATTAAATCGCGAAACAACGTATTGTACATTAGAAAAACAAAAAATACAAAATTTACAAAATTAATCGAACATATTAATATAAAACTTAAATATTTTATTTTTTATTTTCTCTAATTAATTTATAAGTTTATTGAAATGTTACGATAGCTGATATAAAAATATTATCTGTATTATACTACTGTTTACAGTAAAATCACTATTAATGTCATTTATACGCCAAATAATAACATTCGATAGATGGTATTAAATGCAAAAATTGAAACATTGACAATTATGTGACAATTGTAATATAATTGAAATATTTAATATTTGAATTTTAGTTATTGAATTTTAGTTATTTGAATTTAATTTTCGTAAAAATAAGGTTGTAATTATAATACTGATTATAAGTCAAGTAATTACAAATAAAACAGTAGTTTATTATAATATAAAAGTAGCAATTGTCAGACAAAGAGTAAATACATAAGTATAATAATTTAATTTTAATAAAATTAACAATTCATTTTAGACTTATTTTGTGATTCATGGGTATTTTAGGTTAGATCAATTTAGGTTAATTGGGTATTTTTGTATGCAAAGCGCAAATTTTAGTATATTTCATTGCTGGAATTTTTCAGCGATGAAGTATGCTAAATTTTTATTAAATTGTCAAAATTTTTATTAAATAGATTTAAAATGCGATACTTTACTGTATAAATGGAAGGAAATATTTATGTTTATATTATAAAAGCGAAAATAATTATAATATATAAGAGAGGTTTTAAATCGATTAATTTTTGTTTTGTTACAACAAATGTTCTTTTTTTTGTACAATAAGATCACGTTTCTTTTGCACGAGAAATTCACATAAAAAAAATATACAATCAAATTACAAAAATATTACAAATATAGGTGTAATATGCAATACAGCCGTAAAATATATACACGAATGTATAAAAAATATTAAATAAAGAAAAAACATCATCATCATATCAGTAGTTAATGCTCATTTAATTTCTCATTTTCATATAAATAACCAAACAATAATAATAAAACACTTGTAAAAAAAAAAACGAGAAAGCTTTATTTAAAAATAATATGTTAGCGATAATTTTGTTGCCGCTTCAATAATAATTATAACAATAGCATAAAAAATAAACGACAGCTACGACATCTACTCTCAATGCTAAATTAAATCTATATAATTTTATATTGAATAGAAACCTATATTGTTAAGATTATTTTGACTCGCTTATAATATGAAAAGGTTATTAACACATCAGTTAACTTTTTATTTTTTTTTTATTTTCTTTTTATAAATTGTGATATTAAACAATAATGTGAAATAATTATAAGTGAATATATGACAAAAAAACTACTGACTCTAATAATGAGAGTATAATCATAATTGAAAAAGAGAACAATATCGTAAAAAAATAATATATAAATATTTTATAACAATTAATTTGAGGTTAGATTTAATTGGTATGTAACCTGTCAATATAATGACGTAAGGTTGACAAATTCTTAATATAATTTAATTTAATATTTGATATAATTTTCATTTTTTAAATAATTAAAAAAATTTTAAAAAATTGAAAATAGTTTAAATTTTTAAAAATAAATTACAAATTAATTTGAGTTATTTATTTTCAAGGTTGTAAAATAACTTGAATTTTAAGATGAAGCGATATATTGTAGTTGAATCTGATTCACACTCTTTATGTTACAAAAAAAAATTTAGCGAAAAATTTAATTTCTCCTTCAGGCAGTGAACTAAACTTTGAAATTGCAATTCATAAATGACTGCAAATACTTTACTTAACACTTAACGTTTGAATAAACTATAGAAATAAGAAAATTAAGTCAAAATTTAGGTAAATCATAAATTAATAAGATTATTTTTAGCATTAATTTTGTAAACATTAAATTATTTTAATATTTGGCTATGATTAGAGGCTTAACGTAAAGCTATACAATTAGAATTTCGGCCAAATTTCATTTTAGTTTAAAGGAGTAAGCATAAACCCAATGTAAATTTTTCGAAACTGATCGCGGATGGCTATTTCTAGTTCGTCGAAAGATTTTTTCGTCGAATCCAATAAACTAATTTTAATATACAATTTAACAGTGTAAGGTTAATCCGACAAAGATTTAAATTAGATTAAATTTTTCTAAAAATATACTTGTTTTTAATAATTCAAATGCATTACACAAAAAAAATTACTACAGTTTATACGTTCTAGCAAATACTAAAGCAATTCCAATGAAAAATATTTACTTTATTTATTCTAATAAATTTAAAACTGACGAATATAAAATTTCCTCGAAAATTCACTCTCTCATGGCATATAATGTTTGTTCTGCAAAATTTCTACGGCAAAAATCTGAAAATTTCTACAATTGCTTGTGTATTATATTTCATAATAATAATTAACATGATTTAATATAGAAATGAAAAAAAAAAATAAACATTTAAATCCATTTTAAATATAAATTCCCAGAAAAAAGAAAAACTCTTACCCTTTTTGCAGAAAATTTTTTGTTTTTACTATTTAAATTTTCTCAGAAATATTTTAATAAAGTCAAATTTTTATAAAGGGAAAAAATAGGAAAAGGTAAAACTTTTTTTTTTCTATTTTTCCTTTTTTTTTTTTAATTTTACTGAAAAAAATGTGTTCGGTTAAAAGGATAATAATTTTTTCTTTTGAGAAAAACGCGAATCATAAGGGAAATATTAAGAGTATAAAAGTAAATCAAATTTCTTTATAAAAATCTTAAAATAAAAATGGTTTATCAAAAATTTTATTCTTGTTCAGTTGGGTTCGAGGGGTCTTTTAATAATTTCCATTGTTATAAAATGTAAGATATTCCAAATAATAAAATTTTTCTAGAAAATTTTTATGATTTGAAAAATTTCAAAGAAATTTTCTAAATAATCTACTAGCTACTATAATATTAATAGAAGTTAAAAAAAAGAACTGCGCCTAAAATTATGTAATTTTAAAAAATTGTATTTTTCAATTTCCTTAATAATTTTACCTACCTACTTTTTATATTTATTTATTTTTGTTCTTATACATATTTAGGGGAATTTAATAAACCTAAATGACGGTAAATGATTTTGCTAGGACGAAGAAAAAAACACGTAAATTTGAGTTTTATGCATACGAGTATTATATAAATGTGAAGGCCATAATTATTTTCGAAGTAAAAATATATAGAGCGAAAACACTCCCATTTAAAATTTTTTAAAATATAAAAAGCGAGGATCGAAATATGATAAATTAATATGATGCTCATAGTAGTTTTATTTAATTTTAAATTAAAATTTTCTCGTATGAATTGAAAATGTGAGTAAAATTCAAACACAATTGAATTAATTGAGTTGAGTGATATATGTTATTGTTTTTTTTTTTTAATAAATAGAACTTAAATTTAATTTAAGAGAGCAATTTATATATATATTTGTAAGACTACATTAAATTTACTTTAATGTTTTTAGATAAAAATAAAAAATATTTGATTTGATATTTACAATGAAGTCATTAACACTTAGAAGTCACTCTATTAATTGAGTTCCGAATTCGGTAAACAGTTCAGGACCAAAATGCGGATAATATTTCAATATCAAAATGGTGAAACGTCCGCAAATAATAAGTGTACAAGAAAAATTTGATCTTCTTTCGAAAATTTCATTAAAGAAGAACAATAAATGATTTTTAAAATAGCATACCATTTTTTTGAAAATAAGAGAACTAGCTAAAAATGATTATTCTTATCAAAATTTTTATAAAAATAAAAGTAAATATAAAGAGGCTCCTTGATTTTTTTCATTATTATTTTATGACAAAGCTCCTTTCCAAATTTGAAGCTGAAATCGAATGAATGTTAAAATCATATTTTGTGCTGTAAAATCGAATCAAAGCCCAATACTACATAGAAAATATTAAAATTAAAAATACAAGTTTTGTGTGTGAATTTTAAATGCTTTCAATAATTTCGCTTTGTTTATTTTTCGGACAATAATAACCAATTTTCAACAATTTATAATTTCAATAATTGATGTGTCCGATTTCTCTTATTTATAAAAGTTGAATAAAAATTTCTTTATTACTTTAATTTAAAATTTATTTAATTTGCTATTGAATCTTCATTATTCCATATTCATTCAATAAAATAAATTTTTTTTTGGAGCTGTTAAGGAATTTGTGCCAAATAAATTTTCTTCTTAATACGAGTAT